TGTCAATAGCCCAGAGAGTCAGCAGTGCAACAGACATGTGGTTCCAATCTGTCTCTTTTCTCACAGTGAACGAGGAGGCCATTCATTTATCTCACTGTAAATACAGCACTTAAACAGTCAGACACACTGTTTTCCAAGCCCCCAAAAAAACTGTCTGTGTGGGTAATCAGCTTAAGCGAACAATGTTATTGTTACTGATTTTCTTTTTTCAATAATACATGAAAAAACACTAAGCAGTGTCTCATCCTCTGCATTTTTAGGATGTTTTCTAATCTAAAAACCACACAAGTGAGCAGGGTTTTAGGTTGAAAAAATATATATTTTAATTGATAAATTTAGTTTAGGGCTGCTGGCCAAATCTCGTTTTTGAGTTGGTCAATCTTCTGGTTATTTTTCTATCAACATTGGGCTAAATGACTATGTGTCCTGTGAAATGGTCACTCACAGTGACAGATACACAGATAAAAGGCCCAACTCTGTAATTACCCTCAACTCTACAAGGCATTTTAGCCTCTTTTAGCTCAGTGTTTTGGTTTCATGTTCCAGGACTTTTCTGTTTCTGTAGAATGCAACTGTTTTCACCAAAAAAAATAAAAATAAAAAAATGATGTGCTGTTTACCATGTGTCCTGTACCAAATGACCCAAATGACAGACCGAGTTAGTGACTAGCTGGTGAACATAATTGAGCATCTCAAGAGCAAGATATTTCCCTCAGGAGTTGGTAGAGACCATAACCAGAGATAAAACCGGGGGAATATTAGATCTATAAAAACAAGGCGGCCAAAATCACAACTCCAAATTTATGCTAATGTTGCTCTGGTTGTGTAAATACACAACTGTTTGGAAATATTTTTGCCTCATTAGCTTCATAAAGGTGATATGTCAATGTTTTGTTTACGGATGTTGTACTGCTGCCAAGTGAGCAAGAAAATCGATTAATACAGGCTTAAAAACAAACGAGATCTCTCAGGAAAGGTCAGGTCTTTGAGAGCACATGCTCGGATGATTATCAATGATGGATGGAGCCATATGACTGCAACTAATAATACATATAACAACAGAAGAATCCATGAGAATCTCAAAGACCACCTTCGTGAGGTCGGGAAATGTCACGCCTGCTATAAAGCTAGTGTTGCTGAGGTTTAATACCAACATGGGAACCTGTTCCTTTAGATTCAGTGGTGTCAGGAACTGGATTAAGTTTTCTTTGCATATTGAAACTACCACAGTTTTTAAACAAGAGGCTTATAGGAAAGAGAAATGTAAGCTGATCATAGTAGCGTGACCGATTTGGATTTTTGAGGTCAATATCAGTAGAGTTTTGTTAATAATATCTATCAAACTAACATATCTTTTTACTTAGGGGTCATCACATAGGCTAATACAATTCATCTGGAATAAGACAATATCTGTACAGTCTAGTTCCACTTGTTGTCATAGATATAATTCGTTTGCAAGTTTTCATAATTTATTTCTTTGGACTTTAAAATTACTTTATGGATGATGAGTCAGGTATTCAGTATTTTTCATGGTGGTTTGAGGATAGTTTGAGGTCACCCTGTCAGCTGGACTATTATCTTCACAGCGAGAACAGTGATGGAAATAAGTTTTGGGTTTTGTTTCGTCATCCTTGACATTTTTGTAGATGGCAAAATAACTAAAAATCTAAAATTGGTTTTATTATTTTTCATCTGAAGCCACACATCATACGAGCCCTATTCTCTTTAAAAGTCAAAATGCAAGTTATGACAAGGACTTGGAGAATGGAAACAAATTGAGTTTCTCAGGAAGACAGACACATTCTCTCCTCAGTGGCCATAAAGGAGACAAAGCTTTTTACAGTACCAACAGACGCAAAACGTGACCTTCTAGCCCCTCGGGGCAAAAGGTGAGAGCTCTGGGAGCGGAGGCCTGGTTCCAGCAGTCTGCCAGCAGACGAGACGTATGTCCTCCGAACCACATTCCTTCCCATCTTAGATCACTGAGCAGCTCTCTCCGGCTCTCTGTCTTCAGTCCCTTCCAACCCAAAGCAATATAACTCTTTATTTTAGCCCAGATGGCACCTTATAAAAAAACAAAATAGAACGGGAGGTACAAGTGTAATAAGATCAGTGAGCCTCCAGTGCGGCTTCAGCTGGTGCTTTTGTGCAGGTGCCTGAGTTTGAAATTTAGATTAGTCTGATGGGGCTGGAGGTTAAATAGTCAAGTAAGGATTTCCTACTTCCATTTAAATGAGATTCTCAGAAAAGTGTAGCCATGATGAGCAAAGGTTGAGAGAAGTCTTTTCTGGAAGTACATGTGGGGAATAAAAGAATAAGCCTGTGTAACCTGGGGCGGTGTCTTTTATATTTGGGGATGACTGTGCTGCTGAGTGAACTGGCTGCAGCACAAGCCAGTTCTGATTTCATATTCATGACATCCAAGAGGAGTGGGGAAAAACAAACAAAACAACAAGCAAGGAGAGTATAGCTGATGGAACCTAGGCCCATATACTAACTGTCACATCTGCAAAGTCAAATCTCGCATCATCTCACACAGACTGAGGAAGAGCGAGGTCATCCTCCGCAACAAACACTGACTCATCTCACACCCACACACACACACACACATGCATGCATACAAAGTGTAATAACAAATCTTGCTTGCTTTCCTAAATCTAATGGCTTGATAGCACAAACTGGCTTTCTATCAATGTGTTCAACCTCAATAGTCCCATAAGGACACACAGGGACACCAGAATGGGGGCTTTGCACAGTAGCCTACAAACTGTCGGGCTGTAGTTCCCTACAGCGAACTGCGAAACACGTCACTTTTCTAAAGAATAATGACAGCGTGCGCAAATGGAGCCTGGAAGCATCACAGCGGCACTGCCTTTTCAGACGAGTCATGTCCTCCAAACAGAAGCCCCTTCACAGAGCAGTGCCAAGGACATACATGAGTGTGGAGCGCCCTCTATGGGACAGAGCTCCGCATTCATTGGGCTCGAGAAACGTTGAAGTGACAACAGTGCAACCAAATACACATCAAAGCTCACCCTATGCAAATGTGGCTTGAAAATAGAAATCAGTTAAAAACTGTGACGTTTGATATGCAAATGCTGCAAATGTCCTACAAGAAACAAAGTATGCTTTCTTTCTGCGTATATGTTGCTTTATCACTTGGGCTTATGTATTTGTAATTATTTCCTAACAAAGTCAAACATACTGCAACAATATGCCCTTTGTGGCTCTTTCTACTGTATCTTTATCAGATGTCTTGAGATAACATATGCAGATACAGTATGTGACCCCAGTAAAGGAAAAGCCAGTTTTTTTCAGGGGGGATATTTTTTGAATCATCACCAGCGCCAAGCTTTTGCCACGCTGCTGTGACAGCATTCCAGTGCAGGTCACAATGTGGCCAACAGACTTATGCACATCCCAGACTGGAGACAGGACAAGCTGCCTGGAGCAGGGCTCGGCTGCGAGGGCAAGGGAGATGTATGGCCCAGAGGTCACACAGGTCGAATGCGGAAGTCACCACAGTTCATCACTTTTAGATGTCACACACACGCACACACACACACCATCTTGGAGCCTTGGATGTTTTTGAGAACAGAGATTTATCAAGAGATGTACTTGCTTGCAGAGAAGGCCTGTAGCAAAACTCAACATCGATCATAAAAGGTATTCACAATACTAGATCAATCTGTCAAGTGAATGATTTGACTGATGGGACATTGTAACTAAAGCATTAAATATTAATGTCTCCATGATAAGTCAGTGAGTGTGGTGCCAGTGGAAAATGGGAATGGAAATTGCAAGAAATCCCGGCCATCACTGGAACAAAGAATGAGGTCTTGCTCAATTCTCCCAGTGAATAAGGTTTTAAAATTAAAATTCAAGAATGTTTCAGCAACTTAATGTTCAGCAATACACAATTATTTTAAACAGATAAACAAAACTGAGTGTACTGAAGACAGAAGATTACGCCATCTGTAGAGAACGCTCTTAAAATACCCATTTGGATAATTAAACTTTATGAATAATCTAACAGCTGAAAACCCACAAAAGGTCACATTCTCAGAGGGAACAGTACCCTTCCTTCTCACTGCCACACTGGATATCTACAACCAAATACTGTGTGGTGTTCCTAATCTAAAACAAGAATTAGTGCACAAAGTAACAAGGTCTGGATGGCCTATCAATCGGACCGAAACAGGCTTGTTCCTCTAATAAATATGCCACTAAATGAGAACTGCAGTGTAAAATAAATGGTGTTTTGATTATTCTAATAAGTACAAGTAACATATCAAATATCTTCAGTGTGGCGTCACCCAGCCGTTTCATTAACCTGGTTTCCATTACATGGCCCAACAGGGACAGCGAGAGCTTACTCACAATGTAATGCATGACTTGTGCGTTCAGTTGCAACAGTAGTTGACTTGTCAGCTAAGGCCCTCTTGTGGGAAAACTGGCAACTGTAGGTGCAGCTGGGGAATCAAATAAAGTTCAACCTCTGGATTCGTGTTTTTTTTTTTTTTTTGTCGCAGACAGTGATTTTAATTTCAGAAAATCACAAGTTCATACACCTGCCATTTTCACTAGAAGTTAAATGCAAGGGTTTCAGAACAGAACAGGCTTCAACGTCTGTTACATGTCAAAGAGCTGCAGAACAGAAACATGTTGGTATCGTGTCAAATACAGATATATATATATATATTTATAAAAAAAATCTTTCTTACCTTGTGACACTACTTTTAGACTACAGCCACAGTTCAATATTCAGCAATCTGCATGATATTTCAATGAACCTGCTAAATTTGACTAACAACTCAAAAATGTGGCTTCTCTTCGACTAGGTATTAGTTACAGAACATGCCTTCGTACACACATCTTGTTGTTTGCTTCAGTGATCAATCATTTGAACATAAAACTATTGGGACTCTGGTACAGCCTCTGCGTGGTGTCATGCTTCCTTCTTCAAGCCCACTCAAGCTGGAACAGGTCGAACATAAAAGTCATTGTCAAAGTAACTTTATTAAAGGCGGATAACTGTGGTCTTGTAGTCTTTTAACTATCTATTCAGTGCTTAACTGCAGGGACATTTTTTCTTTTGAATGAGCTATGTAATAAGAAAGTCCAATCTTGCTCTTGCAGACGATATTGTTGATGTGCGAAGTGAGCCTCTTGATGATTTTACACAATATTTCTAAGAGAGTAAGGTTTAAGACAGAGGGTCGACACAATCCATAACGATTAAGTGCTGTAGGTTTGTCCTTCTGGTGGTTGTGGAAGCTTCATATTTTCTTTGGACATCATTAGACGCCTTAACTCTTGAAGAACAATTTTAATGCTATAAGAATTCTGCCATTTTGCTAATATTGGTATGCTACGTGAATCCACCTGTGAGACAAAGACAAAAGAAAAGAAAAAAAAAACACTATCAGTCATTGTGACAGGACTGCTGACAGTGAGTGATTGCACGCATCACATCTCAGCATCAAAAAACTGCAACGCAAAACAATTTCTGAACTTGACACTCATCCATAACCATGTCAGATTTTGTGATGACACTTACCGTCCCGTTGGAATTATTTATCCCATTCATGCTAATTTTTGTTACAAATCTAACAGTCGGGGCTGTCTCTGGGTATCTAGGTCCACATTCCACTTTCAGACTGTATATCCTGTTCTCATAATTGGTCTGGAAAACAAACGAGTAGAGAAACAGAAAAGACATTTACATACGTTATAGTATCTATATTAGCTATTAGACAGTATTCTATGTCTGTACAGGAAGGACAATGCACATGCTGGGTTCTCTCTGCTTACTCTTGCTGGTCCAATGATCATGCCTGTCCACCGTGTGAGAGTCATGTCTTCGTCATCCTCGAGGCCCCAGCTGACTGTGCCATCACCTTCGCCCTTTTGCCCCTCTTCAAGCTCCTCCAACAAGCGAAAATTGCGTGGAACTTTAACTCCTAAAATAACAAAAAACAGAATATGAATTACACCGATTTTAACGATATGTCTGGGGATATTCTATGTCTTTCTTACTATCAGCAAATTCCATGGAAAGACTGAAACCAACAATGAACCGATCGTACTAACAACAACTCGCTCTGCAGCCAAAGCCTAATACACTATTGGTCAAATGTTTTAGAACAACCCCATTTTTCCAGTTTTGAATTACACCGATTCAAAGTTGATTGAATTACACTGATTTTAAAGATAGGGCTGGTGATATTCTATATTTTTCTTCTGTCAGCAAATTCCATGGAAAGTCTAAAACCAACAATGAACTGATCATACTAACAGGTACTGGCCGCGTAGCCAAAGCCTAACACAGTATATTGGTCCTCTGTTCCATAGACCTAGTGTTGTCCAGAAACTATTAAAACTGGTTGGTATGTTCCCTCTTTATGGAAAAAGAGTTTATAGTTTATTTTGAGTCAGCCCCGCATACAAAATATAGAATCTGAATGAAGGCACACCATAATGGATAAAAGTTTTTATAAATAAACGGTGGTGGAGGGAGAATGATTAAAGAATGCTTAAACAAAAATTAATCTGCAATTATTTTGGTTTAACAATTTTGATGGTTCTAATTAAAATGTGAGGATTTGAACAAAACAAGCAACTTGAAAATGTAACTTAACATTCTATAGACAAAAAGATGAATACATTAATCAACAAAATAACTGGCATATTAATCAATATAGTCAATTGACATCAAACAATTAGTTGATCAGAGAAATTATCTGCAGTAATATATACATAATTATATTATGTATGTTATGTTTCAAGTATAGGCAATGTTGCCTCTAACCAGTAGTTCAAAGTTTTCTTTGACACACTCCAAGTTACAATGCCCAGTAAACAAAGCAGTGAAATGAGGTAGAAGGGCAGACTGTGCAAAACTGCACTTTTTTTTCTCAATATTGTGACAAATATTGCATATGACTTTTGGTGTTCCAACTCTGCATCCTTTTGTGAAAAATGATGCAGAAACACATTCGTCTCTCACATCATAGAAAAATAATGCATCCAAACGAGGAAGAGCACGGAGCATGCGCGGGACAGGACTAGTTGATACAAGAAATGACTCCATGGATTGAAGTGTGATACACACGTGGCCACAGCATACAGCACATCTTCATCTACCTACTGTGAAACTGCATCTAATTTGATACCTTGTTCACAAGACATTTACTGAAGAGACAGCATCCAATGCTACTCTTGACAGCCGTTTGGAAACAGTCATGAGATTTGGAGCACATGGGCCCTGCACTGATGATTTTTAAACAAATGATCCAGTCATCTTATGACCAATGTCGTAACAGCTGAGTTGATAATAACATCATTCAAAACTAGTCAATCACAGTGTTCATCTACTGGGAAAATGTTCTTGGAAGATGGTCCAGACGTTGGCATTAAACACACAGCCTGACAGGCACTCATGGCAGTGTAAATGATGAACCACTTAGAGCTTATGACTGGAGGAATGGTAGAGGTTGAGGGGACAGCACTTAAGTTAAACTACTGCTATTCATAATTATGATCTTGCAGACAAATTCACAGAAAGGGAAGTGAGAGGAGCATTTTAAGACAGCCACATGACTGAGGCATAAGACACAGTGAAAACATTCAAATTTCCCCTTGTCACTGAAGCGTTCATTTCACATCCTCCAATTTCAGACAACATTCATCACACTCAGACATCACAAATCTCTTTGTAAAAATCAATATTTCACATCTGATGTCCAGCGACCACAATGAAGTATTGGCTCTTCAGTGGTACATGAGCCCTCCCATTTTCTTAAAAAGGCATTTACACACATTTACTGTACTCAAGATTTCAGTCCTTTATCAACACTGGTAAAGAGACCAATATTACTGGTTAAGTTTTAGTTCACCAAAGTGTTACTGGTAGCTGTGCGCCAGCTGCTTAGTAACAGGAAACTGTAGTGCAGCAATGCGCAAGATACTAATTAAACAGCTGATTATTTTCTCATCTTGCTGATTAATCTTTTGGCCAGCTAAAATGTGAGAAAATACCAAAAATTTCCTGAACCCTGGAGAGATTTTTTGAAATAGCTTTTTTGGTCTGACCAACAGTCCACTACAACTCAAAGATAATTTGTTGACTGTAAGACAAAAGGAAAAACAACAAATGCTCACATTTGAGAAGCTGGAACCACCAGATGTTCAGCATTGTTGCTTAATGAAAGACTTAAAAAATTACCTGACATTCAAAATATCTTGAGTTGAGTTTCAGCTGTAAAGGGGAGTGTTCATAATAAAGCCTTGTCCACACCACACAGGACTTCACTTGATTTCATTAAGGTTAATCTTGTGATTTTTCTTTTAATGTATAGGTTATCTTTTTATATACCGGAGCCTCATTTTTCTTAACATGTATTATATTTTTTGCTCTACCTCTATTGTAGTTTAGTAGTGCAGTCTATTGAGTTTACTATTACCGCTGCTGTTAGTGTTATGTTTTGACAAGTTTATTTTTTTAACTGTAAAATCACAGCTCCTCAATAATAGAATTTAAAGGGATCAATATATAAAGTGTAAATGTTATCTATTTAAAACCCTAATACTGCCCCATACATTCGTATCAGGCTTCTTAAACTTGCAACTATCTGTATTGGCACTGGCTCAAAAATCCTTCATCAGTCGAGTTCTAACAAAGGAATGTACAATATAAGTATAAAACCAAAGGGGCACACATTTTGAGGAAATAACACCTTGCAGAAATTAGTTGATCTAGTGTGTATCCAGTCATGTTGGCAGAAATGTGCTTACTAGAGACCACTGCAACCCTACTTGAGACAGACAGATTAACAAGTATAATCTGGATCAACTTCAGTTTGTGCAGATCATGTATCATGATCAGGCTATTGTCATAGCCTTGCCCTCTTCTCTTTGGGTCCTCACTATTGTAACTGATAAGTGTGCAATGTTGTTCTTCCTACAAAACTTTGAAAAGTAACATCCAGGTGGACTAACGAGTTTATTACTACAGTAAACTGCAAAGACAAAACACAAAAGTGACAAATTTGGTTTACGTCAGAATAAGGAATCAGGTGTACGTAAAATCTGAGATTCACTTAACCCTGAAATCTTAGGAAAAGGAGAGAGAGAGAAAACATTCAAGGGCTCTAAACGTTGTTTTGATTTGGTCCTCCTTTCAGCTCAAGTTATCTATGGCACTGGTAACTTAAACCTTGTTAGGTTAAAAATGAATCCGCAGCAGGTCGCTCCAACTCGTCCTGAGGGAGTTTCGATTATGATTAAACTACTTCCCTGTTTCTCTACTTTGTTGCAACATCCCTGTGGTGTATGGCTAAACTCAGGCAGAAGAAAATAATTTAGACCTTGTGATAACATTAAACTTATGGATATTATGTTTGATTTTCTGTGATTCATTTAGTTTATTTTTGCAAGTTTTTAGAACCACGCTTCCTGCTGAGCGCTAACGCAGGCATGGGCTCCGACTATTTGCTGAAACTACGCGTGCCAACTACGGCAGCTGTAACGCTATATCAATACGGTGCGTTCCTCCGCTCCCCACCCTGCAATGACAAACATCTGCCTCACGTAAAGACGCCAGATTATTTTCTGAATTCATCCCTACAGTCAAAGTCGAAATCCAGAAAAAAATTGACAAAAATGTTAGCAAGTGGAGTGCTAATAAAGGCAGCGAGGACTGGTGCCTGCATTGAAACATTTCCGTCACCGTCATGTTGTGTGTCACAGAGAAGCCATCAAAATCTGCATATTACATTAGTCATTGTTTAAGTAATGCATTTTAATGGACATTAAAGCACACATAAGACGGGTACAGACAGAGTAGGCTATTTCTATGAAGAGACTAGCTACCCGGACGTAGCGGGATCGACACTCGGTACCGCGCCGTGTTGGAATATTCTAGTCGCCAAGTTAGCTAAGCTAGCTGGTAACGTCTGCGGTTGTTTACAGTCCTCAAATTAATGCAAACTTGCACACCCAGTTATACTGCCCTATCGCACTATACACACTGGGGGTTTCTTTGTAACGCATAAAGTCAACGTTAGCTATACTGACGCCTATTTCTGACACCTTGGGCTATTTCAGCTAACTCACGGGCATGCTATTCATGGCACGCTAGCCAACACGATAGCGCCATGAAATAGACGGATCCCGTGAACCTCACCGCTGTACCGAGAGGAGACATCAACAACAAAATTACAAATCGGAACAATTTAGTAAACATGTTTAGTGGGTAAACGGGCACTCTTGCTGGCTGAGATGTCAGCTCCGGCCCCGGCTTCACCCGCACTTCGTGTCCCTGTAGATGTTAGTCTGAAAGCACACAAACCTGAGGAGGCCGCCATCTTCTTCTTCTGCCGAGTCCAGAAGCACACACAAGTGTGACATCACAGCCGTTAAAACCGGCAGATCACCGCACTGCGAGCTGCCCAGTTCACTTTTCTCTGGGGTTCACACTATACACTGTTCACGGCCAGTGCAGTCTGAAAGACAGCACAGTTAACAAAGCTGACTCTAAAGCTCGTGAACCTGAATGTTACACTAACTTCTAACCAGCTATAAAAGAAACAAAACATGTGTACAGCTGTGTGCAACAGTTCGATTTTGGAGGTCTAAAATGAGTCACTCTTCAAATGCAGTTTTTTTTCACATAAACTGAAGAAATATTTTTTAAAAATCAACAGTAATTGTGGCATATGCAAAATTTTTGGGCACCATGCTATACCCCTACACCCCTCCTATAGTAGTAATGATGATGATAATAATAATAATAATAATAATAATAATAGTCTAATAGTAATAGTACTAACTCTAATAATAGTCCCACTCTTCCTTACAGATCAAGTTCTGAGATATTTTTAGGTTGTCCTGTATGTACAGCATGCTAATGTTGAGGTCAGGGGACTGTGAGCCCCATCATGTTTCTGAAGTAGGTCATGGTGGATTTTGAGGTAGACTTCGGATCATTGTCCTGTTGTAGAAGCCAGTCTCCTTTCACTTTAACTTTGATTGTCATGTGTATCAAAAATTTGCAGATATTTAGTGGAATCCATTCTTCCCTCTATCTGTTCAGTGTTTCTTGTGCCACTGGCTGCTATATGACCCCAAAGCAGAATACCTCCACCCCCATGCTTAACAGGTGGTAAAGGGGTTGGGTTGGGTGGGGGGGTGGTGGTCTAAAATTCTAGGCCAATATGCAGGGATACAAAATGTTAGGGTGAATTTAAAGATAAGGTGTGTAAAATGAGTCATCTAAAATATTTACATTTGATGAAATGGTGCAGTCATAAACACGTTTGGCTTGAATTTTTCACTGTGCAAACATCGTATTGCTTCAACAAAAAAACGGAACAACCTGGTGCGGAACATGATATACAATATTGCCAGAGAGTGCACATTAATTTGATTTCAGCTCATTTTAAGGGCAAATATGAAATGGAAAGTGGAATTTAAGTCAACTACAAATTCTGGAAAAAAGAAACTTTCCAAGCATCTTGTGAGTGAGCAACATTTTATTTTCTCTATTAACTAGTCAATGCAAGCTAAAAGACAATTCAACTCTGGTAATAGTCAAGTACTCAATCTTACAGGAGTATTTAGAAATCTGATACAAAACAAAACATACTGTACGTTTCAAGCTTGCTTTAACACATATCTCAAAAAACAGAGAAACTCAGAGATTACAATGTACAAGACAAGAAAATAGCTTTTTACCATCATGGCGCACAGAGTGTGACTTAAACATAAGAAGTACAAACACTTTTAAATATTACCTCTATTAATTGTAAGTACATGTGTTTTGTTTCCTTTTTTCCAGGATGTTCAAACATCCAATATGCCTACAAAACATATGGTGGTTCAATTATACAAACACTTTTTTTTTCTTTTTTTTTTACAGCATGAGAAAATCGGCTGACACAGGATAGGATTTAAAATTAAGGACTGTACATAATTGCAGGGTGTGCCTTAGGCGAGGAGACGAACAGTCTTTCCAGTAACCGTCAAGTAATCCTCGTCAGCCAGGGCTCGGAGCGCCTCGTCAAACAGCTCCTTAGTGATCGCCTGAAAACAGGGCGGCAAAGGAGGAAGTCATTACAGGAAGTGGTGGCATTAATGATAGAAACAGACAATGTATAATTAAAAATAAATAAATAAATAAATAAATAAATAAATAAATAAATAAATAAATAAATATATTTATTTATTTATTTATTTATTTATTTATTTATTCAAAAGTTAAAATCACAATACTTTCACTGTTCTTTTCTTGGACTGAATTTACTTTTATTACCAACACTGAAGTTATGGTAAATTTTATCTTTTAACTTTAAGCCCCCCCCCCGCCCTCCATTTTCTATACATGGCATTATGGGTTTGATTTCCAGCGCACTTTAACTTCTGAACACTGGTTAGCTGGTATCTAATGAGATTTTAATGTGTCTCACAATGTCATGGAAAAGGAATTAAACAACTCTGCTCTTGTTCAGCCAAATTAGAAACAAGGAGCACACTGTTCTCATAGAACTGAAAGTGAGTTGAAAATTAACTTTCTTCAGATTTTTATGCATCAATTTCTCTCAGACTTGAAGAATAAAGCCAAACAAATACTTACAGTTTCAGACTGTCCTCTGAGGTCATCGAGCAGCTGCTGGTATTTCATGGCAGGTGTCTTCCCCTTGGCCTGGATCACTTTCTTGAGGGCTTGGGCGACCTCCTCCTTACGCTTGCGGGCAGTGGCACTCATACCTGCGATCAGTAATCAATATATTCAAATACACGGCTTCCATTTGTAGATCCAACTACTACTACTTCAGCTTCTCCGATGCGAGTTTATTATAATGTAAGACGAGGAAAAGCTACAAACTCTTGAGTACCTTTGGGTTTTGAACAACTGATTGGACAAACACGCTATCTGAAGACATCACCTTGAACTCTGGGAAACCGAAAAGGCCATTTTCACTATATTCTAATGTTTTATTGACCAAATGATTCATTGGTCACATAAAAGTCAGTTGTAGCCTTGAGTCCAACATAAGCAAACAGTCAAGAGCAATGAACTGATGAACCATAAAACTACCAAATTCTCAAGAACACAAGGTTTGAGTTATTTGATATTAATCGCTTTGGTGCTAATATCAATCTCTAAACCCAAGTTGAGTTGGCATATTGCACGCCTGCCTCTAAAATAGTTGCTACAATTCATTAATTAATAACATTCTCCAGACCCTGTCCTACATACCTGTGGTGAGAATAGAGATGTCAACAAATCCTGTCCTGGGATCTGTCGCCGACTGTTTGAGGGCCTCGCGGTGAAGCCGTTTGGCCTCCTCCACGTCGATGGTCTCCACCTTCTCGGAGAAGCGCACTTTAGCGTGGGCCTCTGCCAAGCGGATCAGGGATTCCAGCTGCCTGGGGTAGGCGGACACCATGCCTCGACCGCTGCCTATCTTCCTCATGTCCACGTAGGCCTGAGGACCAACACGCACAAGGTCAGCTGAGTTCATGAGGGGCCGATACCAGACTTCAGGCCAACAGATGTGTTATTAACCACATCCGTCTGGAAATTTTCAACATAATGTTCATAAATTGTAGAAACAGGTAGAGCAAACAAACCTCAATGAGGGCCTGGCTGGCTTCCTCGCTCAGTCTTGGATTAATGTATGTGCGAGCATATGCAATGTAATCCTTCAGCACAGCCATGTCGAGAAACTCCTCCTCTATCTGCTCCTCGCTCTGGTAGTACAGCGACACCAGGTGGTGGGCCAGCCTGCGGTCGTAGGCCTCGTCTTGGGGATCCAGCATCAGGAAAATTAGATCGAATCTGGTGGAGCACGAAAATGCAACATTAAAAGTCAGATGTGATGAGTGTGTGAACAAAAGTCCCCTTAAGTTTTCTCACACTGTTTTTATTGAACATCTGCAGTTTACAACTGTGGCGAAACTACTTATAAAAATCACATATTGTGTGTATGTGTTTACTTCAAGATGAATTTATTAAACTACTTTCTTAGTAAAAATGGACAAGAAGCTGAAGAAGAAACAAGAAGACAGTGATTGTAGATACTGTGATTTCCCTAATCTTCCAAATATAGAGCGCAGCATCTAAAGGTTTTAGATTTTATGCAAGTCAAAAATCTTGTACAAAAAAAAAAGTTGAATTTTAAAAAGACAAATGAGGAGCAGTCTCAAAACTTGTCTTGCTACCTCTAATTGCATAAACCTGTTAAACATGTTCTTACTGCTGCCCTTTGAGCACAGATGATGCGCCCTCTGAGGACTGACTGCCTGATCCTTTGTTGCTGTGTGTTGGTGGAACTGAATCATCTTACATCTTAAATGTGATCAAGTTAGTGAAAATAATTTTCTGCCTGGCGTTTCAGTGCGATCATCCTGACTGATAATATTCACCTGGACAGCAGTGTGTGAGGCAGCTGGATGTTCTCAATGGTGGTCTTCTTGGGGTTCCACTGAGATTCAACAGGATTGGCGGCAGCCAACACAGCTGTACGGGCATTCAGCTGGCAAATGATTCCAGCCTGCAGACAGAAAATAAAAGAACCAAAGTGAGAAACATCAAGCTGTATCCTCAGTTTTCCTGCACAAAACATAGAGGTTTTAGTCCGCTACACGTTTAAAACTTGTCAACCGTACCTTGGCGATGGAGAGGGTCTGCTGCTCCATGACCTCGTGCAGCACGGAGCGCGTGCTGTCACTCATCTTGTCAAACTCATCGATGCAGCAGATGCCGTTGTCACTCAGCACCAGAGCTCCAGTCTGCAGGACCAGCTGCCTGGTCTCTGGGTCCTTCATCACGTAGGCCGTGAGACCCACAGCGCTGGAGCCCTTTCCTGATGTGTACTGGCCGCGGGGCACCAGGTTGTAGACGTACTGCAGCAGCTGGGACTTACTGGTGCCGGGGTCTCCGCAGAGCAGGATGTTCACCTCTGCACGGAAGTTACCCCGGCCGGTCTGACTGAAGTCCTTACGGGTGCCGCCAAACAGCTGCAGCAAGATCCCCTGGAAGAAAGAGATAAAAAGCTTCCGTGAAATATTACATATCATAACATATATGTAATATAATATTACAACAATTTCATATTATGTTACAAGATTAGATACATAAAAATTCAACATTATATCAATACTGCTGTGATAAGGGTAGACATCACCCGGGAATTTGGTAATCAGTACTACTTTTCCCATTTTTAAGGCTGCAGGGCATTTTACTGAACTTATTTGATCATTCCTACCAAGTGAGGTGAACAATAGACCTTTTCCAACCAGAAATTTTGACTTTTCAAAGCAGGGAAATCCCAGGTGGAACACTGATGACACAATGACCTTTTCATTTGATTCATTTTAACTTTACTTTTTTTTTTTTGAGTTTTTCCTCATAGCTCTTCAGCAACTGTTTCCATGTTGGCTGCTTGATGTGTCCTTTAAAAAAAGAGCTCAGTGCTCACTGTTGTG